TAGGAGCCTTGTGGGGTTGTCTTCCCCTGTGAGAAAGAGACGGGCCTGGGCCGAGCAGGGGTCAGTGTTCACCCGCCCCGGCTGCTTTTTTCTGAGGCCGGAGGAGGCAGCGCAGCTGCTCCCGTCGTGCGTTGCTCTATCCTGAAGTTGTCCCTAAATTTTCTGGGGTTGAGTATCTTTACCCCAGAAACAGTAGCCTGTCACCTTTCGCCTTTCTGCTGAACATGTGCTTGCTCCAGCGTTCAGGACAGTCTTTGCTTACCTCAGCACTGCAGTGAGGTATGTTTGGTTTCTAAGAGCAGATTATGAGTTTAAAAAAAAATTACTTTGTGTGGAAAATTACTTATCAAGGTGTCATTTCAGTACATGTCTATCCAATTCTAGTTACAGTGGGAAAGGGGGACATAAATACAGAGATGGCACATGGGAAATGGGATCTCAGGATCCCACACTAAGTTAAAATTCTAAAATTGGTAACTATAAAAGTATTCTATGATTATTTTTGTCTTACTCAATTCAGGATTCATAGCTTGTTGTGTGCAGGTGGCATGTTATCTACCACATTCTAGCCATAGCTGAGTTATAAATGACTGAATTCTGAATTTATGTTACTATGAACCTCAGACATTTGAGACTATGAGGAGGGGTGCCTTCTGCTAAGCAAGAGAGATTGAATTCAAACAAGTCACATCTGGTGGGACATTTTGTGTTACACTAGGCAAAATCCTGCATACTTGTCCCAAGTTCAGATGGAAGAAGAGTTTGCATTTGAGAATTTGCACTAATTTTTTGATGATTCAGTGTTTGCTATGTTCAGAATTACTTGGCCTTGCCAAATATTTTCTAAAGGTTTTAGTCAGATTTCATAAGCTTTTAGTGTTTTAGTATGGAGCGCTCTCGCAATATCTTTCCCAAGAAAATCTTGAAACCCTGCGTCCTAAAGGCTCTAAAGCCAGAAGGCAGATGCAAAGAATCAAATATCTATTTATATATCAAATAGATATATATCTATTTGATATATCTATTTATATAGATATAGGTATATCTAGGATAAATAGATATAGGTATATCTAGGAGATATATATATAATTATTATTATATATAATTATATCTATATAATAGATAGGTATATCTATTTATTTGTGTGTTGGCCAGGTTCATAGCGTGTTTTATTTTAGATTGGCAGTACTAGCACTGGTGCCTATTATGAGCTGTCTGCTCTTAAAAACTGTTGTTTTTTCTGAAACAAATCTGAAACCCATTTTCATGTTAGAGTGCTCTTGCCTAAACACCATTCCATATACCCAAAATACAAGAGCTTGTGGGCGACCTTATTCTGACCTCTCCTTGTGGGACCTGATTTCAGTCAACTCCTGCAGGGTACTCCAGCTTGTCTAAATACTGTGTGTTTGTAGTTTCTCCTCCCTTGCATCAGACTTGAACTTCTGCAGTCTGCTGGTAAGCCATTTCAGAGATCGTGAATTGTTCAAATTAATCCCCTTTTATCTGGATTAAGTTTTGGACAGATCAACTCCCTGTGTTGATTTACCATGAAAGTGAAGAGTGCAATGCAAAGCCGAGCAGAAATACGAGGCCCTGGAAAGAATGAAGTTGCAGCAGCACTGATCGTTTCAGCTCTTGTGGAACAGCCCCATGGTCTACTGACCTAGTCCTTTGTGCTTAACAGGCAATTCCTCTGGTGGTTGAGCTGCAACACTCCCGCTATCCCAAAATTGCAATATTCCCAGTTTCCTCTCTGGCTAGTATTTCTCTGCTCTTCACTGACATCTACTTTTGTTTTGAACTGTTGACAGAACAGAGCATCAGTTCTGTAACTCTAGGCAAGACCCATGTGCTAATTAAACTAAAGAGCTACTAGCCTCTTGTTCAGCAAGCCGAGAAGGTTGTGTGTTTGGGTGACATACAGGTAGATACATTTTGGTGTTTCTGCAGCCATAGGCCACATAGTCTAACTGAAAAATAAAATCCAGAATTACTAGAGGCAGGCAAAGATGTATCATGTACAGGAATGCTCAGGTAATTATGCTTAAAAACTAGAGCCTGGCTTGGTTTATCTTCTGTCATTGAGGTGACCTACCCAAAAGAAGAGAACTTGTACTTTACTATAGAGCCATGTTTATCGTGAATTTGAACAATAGCTCACATTTCTTAATGTCTATGCTGCAGCAGATCCTGTCATATATTGTAACAACTCATTCTGATCATCGTTAGAATTGTTCATAAAACAGCACAATTATAGGAACATATAACCTTGTCACATAACAATAGCAAGATAAGAATTGATCCATTAGGAAATACTTGTTTTGAATCAGTAGGCACATCAAGCTTAAGTGTGGTGTTTACTCAAGTAGGACAAAACATGCTCTTTTTTTTGTTGACATTATAAAGCCTTTCAGATTTTCATTAGCAGTTCAAAGTGTATCTTTTCTCAAGCTGAATGTTCAAAGCGAACAGCAGACCAGCAAGCATTCAAAGCAAGTTGAAATTGCGGGAAACAATCAGAACATACTACAATTTAAAATAGGCACCAGATGTGAAAATTGACTTTTAGTCTGAGGCAGTTTAACTACATCATGTAGGAGTTTAGACTAATATTACACTGCACATGTCAGTCTAATGACTGGGGTCCCATGCAGCACTTACTTATCAGACCAACTGGACTGACAAAAAAAGGTCTGACATGGCTCTTCATTTCTTTTACCTGGAGGCAGGCATCAGTCTTTGTATGTGTACTCAATTTAATTTAGAATGGAATGCAACATATTTGGAAAGGATCAAGCAAGAACTAAAGGTTTGGGCTTTAAATGCTTAAAACTTCAGCTTAACTGAAGCTATGAGAAGCTCTTTATTCTTGCAATTGAAGAAGAGTTCAAGTTCCGCATACACACAAAATGCCATCTTTCTTCCTCAGTTCCTCTCTCAACAGGCCCTGAGGGGCAAGAACATAGGATTTTATAGTTATTCAACAGTAGGCTTATTCTGACCTGAAGAGTTATGAAGATGTTTTGTTTTCTTGATTTTTGGTACATTTTGGTACCAGAGATCAGCACCTAACAGCAGCTGTGATTACAAAGCACAATAAACTGTTTTACTAACACAACAAAGCAGAACTACAGTCGCCTCAATTTGAGGGCAATCACAGCTATAAGAAGCAAGCTGCTGACAGATTACAGAAAACTTGCAGAAGGGGGAAGAGAGGAATTCTTAAGCACCAGGGGCACAATTTCCAAACGAAAACTGAGAGTCAAAGGTTCAAATAAGACCTTTATTACAACAGAGTTGACAGCGTGTTTTTGTATTTAAAAGAATGTATTTGGTCTCTTGGTGGTGAAACGTGGTTTGTGCTGGCGACGCAGAACTCTGTGTGGCAGAGGGAACTTGATTTTAGAGTCCTGTAAGGAAATAAAAGTTTTTCCGTTAATTGAGCTAATGGATGAATAATAGAAAATAATTTGCAGTAAACAGGTAAGCTTTGACTGATAACTTGTATAGAAGTAACACATCCACAGGTTAGATAAGCTTCATGGTAACTAACAACAGATGCATTGATTGTGTAATTCTTATTGAAAGAAATTCCTGTTAAAGGCAAGCTTAGTGTAACTTAAGGTATGCTTTTTCAATTTTACTTTCTCTCAAGTAGTTCTAGCATTAAAAATCTTGATCACGATATAAAATGGTTTTCAAGTTATACATGCAAGTTTGGTTCCTTTCCTATTTTTGTCTGCAAAAAGAAGCTGTGCCAGGCAAGAGAGCTCTTGCCAGCTCTCCTGCCATGTTACTTCACTTACATGGAACTGCTTGACTGCTGGTCTACGGCACTTGCTAGCAGCAATTTCCTCAACTTTCATGATCTGAATAGAGTGAGCACGGGCACGATGACGGGCTCCCATATCACGATCTGTAACAACCGAACTCATTAAAAATAAATCCTAAAATGACTTAAGACATTCCCAGTTCAAAATTTTAATACCATCTTTTTGTGTCCACCACTTTCCAAATTTTCAGGCAACTCCGCATATCAGAAAGAGTATTATTAGTCAGTGATGTCTGAAGCACTGACCGGAGAATCAACATGCAGCAGCAGCAGCTTCTTCCTGGAACGTATGACCAAGCTTCTACGTGAACGTCATTTTATTCTTGCCCGATTTCAAGAAGGTACACATTTACAGAAGTAATCTACTCAGGGACTTGTTATGTTTTGCAAAAGAAAATGGTGATTCAGAATCAATACTGAAATATCATTACAGGAAAAATAAGAACTGAATTTCAACAAACGCTCCCTTTGCCTTCCAAGAGGCAGATGCAAGGAAAGAGAACTGCAGTTCCTAGCTTTGTTTTTTTAATCACTACCTTAAAACCACAACGTCAATAGCTATTTTGCACATAAGACATGGCTAGCTAAATATTCTTGAGCTTACAGTACTTCCTGTGAAGATGCAAAACACCCATTAAAAACCTATCCTTCAAAAGCAGTCTGGAGCATAAAGGTATCAAAGTCATTACGTAATGACAAATTAAGTAGGTTCTCAGACCTCTTAAGTAGTCCTACAGTATGTTAATTAAAAGAACGTATTATAAGTTACATGTAGAACCTTAAATTTCACTTTCAATAGCACTTCAGCTGTTGAAAGGCGACAAGATACATACAATATTTGCACACATGACAAGAACATCATTACTGGGAACAATATTCTTTGGGTTTTTGTGTGCATTTTACAGTGTTTTGAACACTGAATTCAAATGTCAACAGCCTCAGCTATAAAAATGATCTCTCTCTCAACTCCTTTAGATAACAGACTAAAATCAGAGCAACCCGTGATGCTCTCTGAACTGAGACTACTAGATCTTTGAGCAATGCAAATTAGGGAAAAAACAGTGTTTAGGAAACCTAGCTCTCCAGAAGCCAGATCCTAGTATGTTCCACATAGTATCAGCAATAATCTTTTCAAAAGACTTGGAAAAATATTTTTGATTATTTTTAACAGTAAGTATAATACAAGAAATATATACAGCCCCTAACAGTCTCAAAACTCTTCACCTATATAGCAAAATTGATGATTAGAACTGTAAAGAGTCACACCGAGATCAAGTGGGAATATTTTCAGCTACAGAAATTGCCTAAGGAGTGCTAACGAACAAAATACTACATACATTATACCTACACATCTATGGGTTTCTCCAGCAGCTTCCCACCACTTTATTTTTCCAGTGTTTAAGCTACCTTATCATGGATCAAGTCAGCACTCCTACTTAAGCTTTACGACCAGTTTAGGATTTAAACTTTTGCTCGTAAACCGGTCCTAACATTTTATCTCAAATGGTTATATGTACTTACAGCACTGAGTGACAGCACCAGCTGTGGTCAAATCCCTGTACTCCCTGTACATGTTGTGAGTTCCACTACGAGAATCATAGCGTAGCCAAATACCAAAGTTTTTTACCCGCAGAGGGGACTTCTCATATACCTGGAATTACACAAGGGCACAGAAATGGTTAGAGACAGTACATTATCAGCATTTTACAAGTTTAGGAATAAACATGTTACAGCTGTAATGTAAAGCAATACAGATAGCTTTAATGTCCAAGACAACTATTTGCTCTCTTTCCCCATACCATCATAGTACAGGGAGGTCTCTGGTAATTCAATGTGGAAATGAAAAAATACATTTAGATTTCAGCTGTTAAATCATCTTTGAAGGAAACGGAAAAGAACGTTCTCCAAGCAACAAAATGTGAGAGTATATGCAAGCAAGTATCTATTTTCCAAAGATTATGAAGGTCCAGATGGTTCCTAAGAGATATATGCCATAATGAAGCAACCATAAAAAACAGACAACAGCACTACCTGCAGTAGTGATCTATTTTAGCAGAATTCTGAATGTTGTGAATTTAAGTTTTTTAGTTCATTTGACACATGCAATCACTTGCAGGGGGCTGCCCAGCTTCACAGTAGCTGAAGGTAAAAAAGAGTTCGACTTCATTAGTAACAGTATTTCATCTAAATGCCTTCTACGTAAACGAGCCAGAATTCCTGAAAAGCCTCCAAGAGTGTCAGGTTTTTCTATGTCGTACCTGGCCACAGTACACAATCTCTCCAGAAGACTTCTTCATCTTCTTCAGCTGGGAAACGAAATACCAGAACCGGGATTTGGCGACAACATGGTTGGGGGCGAAGATCCGCATCCGGTAGAGAGGCGGAGTCCGGCATTTCGGCGTGGGCAGGCAGCGCCCGACCACCTTGTACTCCCGTAGCTGCAGGGGGACGAGAGACAGCGCCGCAGTGAGCCTCCTGCTC